CAGGTGGATTTTCCAGAAGAAAGCAATGTCTTGCTGCAAGCTCAATGCTGGGAGAATTAGAAGATATGGATTTTAAGGAGCTATGAGCTGAAGCAAACAGCCATATCAGACCACCAAGCGTGCCAGGAACCTCCCTGTACAGAAAGCAGCATTACTCCACAAGATGGATAACAGACAGAAAATATGGGACAGGACACAAGGAAGGGGAAGGTAGACATACTCTTCATACTAATTTTATAAATAAAGAGAATTTAACAGCACAGCAAACCAATAATTTAGCAAATCTGTCTTCTCCAAGCACATACTATGAAATATTTCTCACGCGCACGCCCGCAGCCACATAATACCAGCCAGCAGTTGAAATCATTTTTTAATAATTAGTTTAAGGTTTTTTTTTTTTTTGGGGGGGGGGTCATCATAACAAACGATCATATATGCTTGTACTCATTATCAAATATCAAATTCTCTCATTTAAGCCAGGCACTGAAAACTAGCACCATCAAGTACACAACTTTCAAATTTGCAAGTTAATTTTATTTCAATCCCTTCCTTATGTGTCATCAATAAATTCAGACTGAATGGACGGACTGATATCTGTTACAAGTCACCGAAACCTCTGCAAGCAATGTGCTAATTTTCAAGCATCCAGGCATCCCACTTACCAATGCCATCACAGGATTGCCCACTTCCGCAAATGACAAGGGCCCTTCAGGTCCAGGAGAATAACCGATAGCTTCAAATGCTTCCCCAAGAGCCTTTAGAACAAAGCCGTCACTAGCTTCCTGTCCAAGTTTCACTTCAGCAGCATTTTCTGGTTTGCCATTTCCCTCACTAATTTTCTCATTGCTGCCATTTTCTGGCATTAGGGTCTCTTGATCAACTTTTACTTTATTAGCATCTTCAGCCTTTAAAGTTTCATCGCATGGGGTCAGGACTTGTCCATCACCATTACTGGTCTTACGTTCAAGAGTTTCTGATGCATCTTTGACAATAGATGAATCATTTTTAGCTGCAGCTGGATCAGCAGTTTCTCTACAATTGGCAGCAACAACATCACTATCAACAAAAGCTTCTTCAATTGGCATTTGAACAAAGTGTAATATACATTGAGCTTTTGTTTTCGTTGCAACATGCTCAGCAATTTCATTCCAATTTTCTTTATAGAGTTCTAATGCTTCAAGAAGCAAGAGGGTCTCCTGATCAGTCCACTTTCCACCACTAATCCCTTGGACTTCAGCTGGTTCCATAAGTATAAAATCCGTTGAAGACATACCAGAGCCAAACTTTCCATTACTAAAGCAATCAGTACATAGATCAAAATCTGCCTGTCAGAAGCAAATTAGAAAGTTATCAATCACCCTATTTTTTCACCAACATATTAAAATTAATCAAATAATTCAATACTTCGATAGTCAAACAGATTAAGTCTAACTAAAAGTCACAAACTTGAGTCATTCCGACAAGTTGAACAACCTTTAGAGCAACAACCATTTACACCATTTCAAAGAATGTACCCTCTTGCAAGTCAATAGAAATTCAAAAAGGCAAGTAGCCTTTCCAAGCTGTTGGATGTGACTGTCATCATTATAACATTTTCTGCTCACACTCCACGCCTTCTACTTATCCAGAACCATGTTGTGTCACAGGAGTATTATGCAAAAATATTTTCAAAAATCTAATTTGACGCAGAAGAGGTGGTAAAATGATTCCATGCGTCATAATTTTGTAACTTAAAAATAAACCGAAGAGGGCTTCTTGGAGCAAAGTTTGGCAACCATTTCAATCCTCACAGTTGGAGGTAATTTCAACAAACTACACCAAACAATGTAGATAATTAAACACCTCTTAAAGCAGCAGACTAGGAACAGAAACTCAAATTTAAACTATAATAAGATCAAGCCCATTATGCGCGCGCATGGCGGACACACACACACAAAAAAGATTAAGCCCATTAATATATTTAGAGTCCTTAAAACGTAGCTAAAACAATGCAATTCAATGACATGGGTAAAACCTGCTTCTGGCAATGGTAGCGTTTGCGCGAACAATCAGCTGAACAGGAGTTGCAGTGGTACTCAACTGCTGGCCCCTCCTGTTTCACCAACTCTTCAGCAAATGTTGATTCAGGAAACAAGCCAGATGGCATATCTTGAGTCATTTGGTTGGTCTTTGGAACAACACGCGGACATAATTGCACAGTTTCGAAGTGATACAATTTTTCAACCAAGGACTGCTTTTCTGCTTGCCCATCATCATCAGTGCCGACAACAGCATTGTCCGTAGATGGAAATGGATGGAAATTAATTAAACCCCAATGGTCCAGAAACTCCATTACCTCTTGCCTGGCATCCAAATCTCCAACATTAAGCTCAGACAAGTCTTTCAGCTCAATATGAGCATTTGGGTTTGCATGAAACTTCTTCATAATCCAGTTCCGTATCTCCATATAAATATCAGGAGTCCGATTTTCAGTTTTCCCATTAAAGAAAGAAGGTAATGCATTCTTCTCTATTGAATGGATATCCGTCCACGAAAACCAACCTGAAAGTCAATTCCAGAGGTAAAATGGTTTGATTGAAGAAAGCTGTTGTCAGACTTAAGATTGAAACTTAGAGTACTTAACTTTTTTAGTTTTTAAGAGGTTGATCTTGGGTGTGGGGGGAGGGGTTGACCAACATAACTTCATGAAACAGCTTGAATCAAGGAAAGTAACCAGACAAGATAAACCTTTTTAAAAGAATAAATCACTTTTTGAAGATTTAGGAGTGAACAAAAGATAAATAAGGATTTTCAAGGATACAGTTAACAAGATCACCAATACATCGTTGCACGATGAAACATTTTAGCCACAACAAAATTCTCATAGCAAAACTATTCACATTTCTAGGTTTTGCAGGAAATTCTGATGATTTTGCAGTGCCTAGACTTCCATTCTAGATCTTACAAGGTTCTGAAAAGAAACCCAAAAATAGTCCTCAAACTTGTATACAAATATATATATATATATATAGTAGAAAAGGGTAATTTTAGAAGCTAGTCCACTCATCCGGTCAATAACTCAATATAAGGATTCCAAACAACCACAATAATTTGGAACCAAAGCTCCAAAAGTAACAGGATAAAAAGATTTCATAACCATCCCTTAAAGCATGGGCTGATCTAGTGTTATGTATACTGCACAAAACCATTTAATGAACTCTGCAAAAATAAAATTAACAAATATCAATTTTTCCCAACATCCACTCCGCGCTTTTTTTAATAATACTATAACGCTGGCATGATAAAGGTGGGAAGATGAGAATGCTTCAACCGGACAAACGTATTTATTGTTGCATATAAAATGTGGCCTCCGGAGGTAGAATGAACAACGGTCTACTATGGCAAACTGCCAGAGGCAAGCATGACTAGACTGGAAAAAGCCTATCGCAAGCACTAAGCAGCATACTAGACAGAGCCAGCCGCAAACCAGCTCAGTCGAGTTCAGTTGAAATATTCGTCAATGGAACACCAAAGAATTCAAAGCATAGATAATCAACATCGTCCAATTTCCAGTATCTAATGAAGAAGAATCCTAAGAGGTCCTAAAGCTACACATAAACAAACTAGGGTTCCACAAAAGACACATGGGCTCACCACAATGACTCGGAACTACATGAGCATTGGCACCACGAGATCTGATAGCTTCGAATTCAGTTTCGATCGCAGCTTCCAGAGCCTCCCACTCACGCTCCTTCTTAATATCCTCCGCATGCGCGCCTGAGTCTCTACCCAAAGCCTCAGACGTCACCGCATGCTGTGAGTGCTTCGCAGCGCCAGCAGCAGAGCCGCCGCCACCAGCTACCAAGGCTGAAGAGGAGGGGGTGGCCTGGTTGCTCGGGATTTGACGAGCCCGGGTCAAGGGGCCATTGTGTAAGGGAGGAGTATGAGCAGGCAAAGCCTTCTCGCGAGTTACACGTTTCGAGGGCGTGGGCGTGGAATTCGAGGAGCCGAGAGTATTAACCTTTCTTTTTAACCCTCCGGAGCGGCGGCGGGAGGAAGTCGACTCGGATGCCGGCGAATCGACGTTGGACGACGGTTGAACGGCAGCTTCGCGGTGTTTCTCCTCCATCGCGACGCTCCTCTGAGAAAGGGGGATATGATTCAGTGTGACTGTGCTTGGTCTTCAAAGACGTACGTCGTCGTCATATCGTGGATTGCTACTTCCAGAGCTTCTTCCACTCTCAGTGCTTTCAGGCTTTCATCTTTTCAGGCTTTCCCTGGTAGCAGCCGATTTAATCCCGTGTGGCGCTCGTCCGCGGTACAGAGCTGCGCCCTTCTTTCGTATTGGTGGACGGTGGTGGTAGTCAAATTAATTTTAACTAAATTGATCCTCATGCTTAACATTATTTTTCTTCCGAACAGCTTAGCATGTTTATTAAAGGCGACTTATATCATACTCTCTCCGTTTCTTATTATAAGAGACATTTGATGCTTATGACATGTTCCTATATATAAGAGACACTTACAAGTTGTCTCTACTTTTTTGTGTTGATTTACTATTTTACCCATATTTATTATCTCCAACTCACACTCTCTCTCCCTCCCACTTCTCTTTTTTTAATAATTTAATTGTTCTCTCTCATGCTCTCTCTCCTTATTAATGAGGGCATTTTGGAAAAAATTATACTTTTTACACATTAATTGTTCTTAACTAATTTTAACTGTTTTTTTTATCAACGTACTTCGGTTATTTGTTTCTTATAATAAGAAACGAAGGGAGTATTATAGAAGAGACTGTGAGTTTTATGTCCCAAAAAGAGCGCGCGAGTCCTCTTTTCTATGGGGAGAGAGGGTTAAGCTATCCAAAGCAAGTATTCATTATAATTCAACTGTTACAGATTAATTTTTAAAATTACTTACAGCTTAATTATTGTTATGTTTAATTTTAACTTATTTTAACGATTATGTACCATGCGAAGCAGCATACGAAAAAAGGTTTAATTTTGCAAAACACAAAAATAACGCTACAAAGTTAGGATTGGATCATACATCATTAGCCACATATCCTATAACCCTCAATTAAGACCCCAAAAAAAAAAAATGATCCTCCATATAAGGGTCTTCTTTTTTAAGTTAGGATTGGGATCTGTTTCTTTTTTTTTTGTTAAAACAGAGGTATCTTTCTATTCAAGATAATCCTATTTGAGGTATCTCGGGATACTGAATGTGGACATATCTCCCAATAGAAATTCGAATCTTAATTCGTCATATTGTGAAGGATTAACCCTTTTCACTAAACCTAATTATTATTATTGGGATCTGTCTTGCAATGTCACTGTGTTCCCACGTATTTGCTTGAGTGGAAGATGAAGCGCCTAATAAAAGATGCAAGAGCTTGGATCATTCATCATGAGTGGGCTTTCGAAGTTGGGGTGGGTCTTGCATTGTTTATGGGTTTCCATCACTTGTATCCAACATGAAACTCCACATCCTCCCAGAAGTTGCTCGACCTAAAGATGATCAGCATCGTTCCGCGAAACATCTCTTCTTCTTGTTGGGCTCGTAAGTTTGATCCTGCTCAGCTCACACGTTCTAATTTAACTAAAGTTGTAGCTAACTTAAAGACCCACATGACAAAATTGGTTCATAGCAATAATTCAGGTCCCAGCACGAAGAAATAACCAGGCCCAGAAAAGATATTGGAAATATCAGTGAGTGTTCTGGTTCCATTCAATGTTGCGACTTTAATATTGAAGTTGCCTATTCCTGTGTTTTATTACTACTGTAGAGGTCCAGTTATGTTACAACTGTCTTGGGCTTATCAGCTTGGCCGCAGAATCATGTTGGATTGATGATCCACGCGCTTGCTCATGTCAATTTCTTCACACGTAATTTGTTTTTCTGCTTTAGTGTATTTGCTGCTAATTGTTTTGCCTTCATTTTATATTTTGTCCAGAAAGTGCTTAATGAGTGACACATACATAAGAAGAAGTAATTATATCTTATATCGCTGGTAATTTGTTGTTTTTGTAAGACTGATTTCTGTACATTGATTTTTCTCAGAAACATAGTGATGTTTTTCTTTTTTGGCGCTCCTTTAGTCTTATTTATAAATAGAGCAAAGAAAAAAGATATTTTTTTATTTTATTTATAGGATACTAAGAGAAATTTTTCATGTGGATGTACAAATTTATCCTTTATTATTATTGTGTTGATTTTGTTTATCTGCGATATAATGAATAATAAATACGAATAAAATTAAAAACTTGTTAAATTTTAAATAAAAATTGACAAAGTTTAATATTTTTTTAACTTGTATGAAATATGTTTAAAATGATTTATAAATAAGATAATTAGAGTATATAAAAACACAGTAATTTGTAAAGTCTTTACGCTGCCCCTACCTTTTTCCCCCGTGTTTTCCGGGGACAGGGGAAGCGCCCGAGCCTGAAAATGAGTGACGTATTTGTTGCTTTCACCTCTCTCTTTCTCTCTTTGTCCGTTTTCTTCTTCTTGGGTTTTCGGCCCGTAAGTACAATTTCAATGCAATTGATTAGAACACATGGGTTGGTCTGGAATCTGGACATTCACACTGCTTTAATTTGTTCTTGCTTGGGCATGAAGCGACTCCCTTCCACTCACAAACAGCCTTCATGGGTGTGCTTGCTAACATTTTGTCTGTTTAAAAAATTACTTTGTATTTTCTTTTGCTTTTAAAAAAGAATAGAATTTAACCACAGATATCATTAAAAAATGAACTCGTCAAAATATAGTCCAATCCCGAACAATTCAAGTGTCCCAAGGTTCCCTTTGTTAGTCCTAAAGGCAACAAAAAAGTTTGATGACCTTAACTAAGAAGAAAGCTTTTAGTTACATATCGCCCTTTTGGCCCACTCATATGAATTGTGGGGGTAGGTGTTGACTTGGTTGGTGTTTCAAAAATTTTATGTATTAATAAATCCTACAACGTCAAATATTTAATAGAAAATCTTTTCTGTTATATTTATGCTCAACTAACAAGATATTACTCCTATATATACGAGTATTTCATTATATGTATATAAAGCTCTTATAAGCAAGTTACCCGGTTTCAGGTGAAGCAATGACACCCAAGTGGACATTCGTTTCTTTGTCTGTGGCTAAATAATAAATGGATTTTCTTAGGCTGCAGCTAAATAACAGATTGGTAATCTAAGAGGAAGAAGAAGAAAGTCAAGGGACGCGAGGAGCATCAAGCCTAGCCTATCCCTAACATAGATGAGTTCCCAAGGTATATAAATCGCTTTGGCCGAAAATATATATATATATTTATATATAAATCGCGACCCACGTAGGCATGTATAAACTTGCAAGACTCAACTTTTTCTACCGAAAAAATAAAACACTAAAACTCACGAAACTAATGTTTCGACTAATATAAGTGTGTTTTTCCTATTTTAAAGTGTTTTTTTTTTTGCGTTGGTTAAAAAAAAGTGATTTTTATTGCATGGAATAAATATGTAAGAACTGACCAGAGTTTTATCTCATACTCTTTGTAGTTCCTATTATAAGCCATTTATAACCAATTCAATCATGCCAATAAAAATAGCTAAAAATATTAAATTTGTCATAAAATTCAAATAATTTTTAATATTATTGTTTTTTTTTGCCATTCAATATTATCCTTATTAATTACATTAAACTTTAACATCATATTAATTTTTATTATCTCACTATATCTTTATTAAATATGAGCATATATGATTAAAAAAAGTATTTGATGATTATTAAAACTAAGCAAATATCCTACACAAAGGATCAAAAATACTAATCAGCTGATGACTTGATGTCTTATCCAGACAAGGGGGTGGAGAGTAAAAACATACTCCTTCATCTCTTATTATGAGATCCACTTAACTATATTACGTGGTTTAAAAACTGTTACAATTAATTAAAAGTAATAAATATGTTGAAAATATACTTTTTTTCCAAATATACCCCTATTTACTAGTGGGTAGGTGTGAGTGAGAAAAAATGTATGGGAAAAAGATAATGAGAGAGAGTATATTAATTAAGGATAAAGTGGGTAAAAATACATTTATTGCTTAGAAAAATTTAAAGAAGATCTTATAAATAGGGACAAACTAATTAAAAAAATTAGATTTTATTATAAAAGACAGAAGAATAAGGACTTATTTAAGTAATCATCACAGGGATCGTCAAACCAGCATTCAGTACCTCATGTTTTCCCCTATTTAATAGGAACTAATAAGTGCAGTCAATTGAATGTGTGGCTAATTCTGAGAAAGTATTGCAAATTTTTTATACCTTAGTTACAAATAATAAATATGCCTACTTTTTTTAATGTGTATGAATGGGTAAGAAGGTCATAGATGGAGGGAGTAATAATTCTGACTTAATTTAAAAATAAATAAATATAAAAGAATCACCCCAATGTCTGTCTCTCACAGAAAAGCTGTTTTATATGCTTTACATATTTTACAATACTTGTCAATTTTAGATTCCAATAATGCACTAAATTTTTTTATTTCCAGATTTGCTCCCCTGTTAGTTAAAGATTTCAATAATGCATTAAATTTTTGGCCAAAAAAATAATGCATTAAATTAGGAGTGGTATTTATTTAAAGAAGACTGAGAGCATTTCTATAAAAAAAAAATATTCTACCTCTTATTCTAAATAGGTATGCTTCTATATTTCTGTTTGGTTGTGCTCTCCCACTCTCTATCCAAAAATAAGGATATATTTTTTAAAAATATTATTTTGTTCATACTTATTACCATTAACTATTTTTAACCACCTTATCATAGTCATATACATAATTTATTTACTTTTTTTCCAGAACCTAAATTTATTTACTCGTATCCTATATATAAAAGATCAAAAGAGTAATAAATTTATTTTATAAAACCTGATGTTATTTAATGATTTTCCTGATCTCCACAAAACTTATTTTGGTGACGTTTCTCAGAATCGAAAGGTCGAAGCCTAGACTGATGGATGTAGGAATTGGATTGACTTGCTTGTATAGGCGCCACCTGAATTTCCGTCTTTCTATCTCTTTTCAACTGTATCTCTTATTGGCTGGTCGAGTAAATGAATGGATCCAAAAAACCCCTTGCGTAATTTTTAATGATCTGAACCTCGAATGGGTGAAAAGGAACAAGACAAGATTAGATTCCTATGAATATTGTGCAGAATCAGAAAACAAGCACCAGAAGCAGAGGATGTTTATCCATTAAAATTCATTAATAACTCTCTCTCTCTCTCTCTTCCCTGCAAAACAAACTTCAATGAAAACACTAGTTGACTATTAATTCCCACTATTCCAACAAACATAACGGAGTATTGTAGAAGCTATGGTCCCTTTCATTAATTTATTGAGCCAACTTCTCTTCTTCAAGCTTCTCCCCAAAAGCCTTATCCTTCATCTTCTTCTCGTCTTGATGAGATTCCACATGGTGGCTGTGATATATAATGACGTTAGGCTTCACATCGAAGTCCTTAACGAAAAGATCTTTGTCTGCATCAGACACAGACGGCTGATCCTGAAGAACAAGATCTTTGATCAGTTCAGGCATGGGCAGTCCCTTCATCTTCTTCTCCCAGTAGGCTTCGAGATCTTTTCTGGCATGGCTAGGGCTAGAAACCTGCAGAGATATTCAAAGAGAAAAAGAATCGATCGAGAGGTTTATATATATGTATGGCGGAGAAAACTGAAAGAGGAAAATAGTGGATTTTGCAGAGAGAAGAAGAAGAGGATTAATTACCAGAAGAAGAAGGGAGAGTATGAAGACGAAGGAGAAAGCGGGCTTCATCTTTGGTGTGATTCTGATTGGTGTATTTCCAAAGGGGTCAAGTAACCCTTCGCAAATTTATAGGAATTAGGAAACCTCTCTCTCATGCTTGCGTTATAGCTGTAAAGTGATTCATCATCAACCTTCGCCGCACATCGTTTTGACGCCTGGATGCCTTACTCAAAAATAGAAAATTATTAATTGGAAAATATCAATAATATTCATTCAGCTTTTTTCATCAAATTGATTAGGTTGGTGTTATGGGTGGCAGATATATACTCTACTTTTTATGTAAGCAATTGAATTGAATTCAATCCTTGTTTTTACGCATGAAGCATATTTTTATTTTTTTAGTTTAAAAAGTCTGCTATTTGTATAAGATAGCTTGGTTTTCAGGTAAATAATTAATCGTATCATTATTAAAAAAATCTGACAAATGCCGCTCATTTCAATCTATATTAGTACCTCCGGTCCTAATTATAAGACTTTATTTATAGTCTACAAACATGATCTTATAGTTAGAACCGGAGGTAGTATATGACTCTCTTAGTTTACAATAAAAAATAAAAATAAAAATACGTTTAGGTTTGAAATCTTTAATTTAGACTTTCAAATATTTAAACCCTAATTTTAAGGCGTAATTTATTTTGTTATTTATAAAAAAAAATTAAATGAATATTTGTGTGATTAGAAATTTTCAAAATTTTTAACACCTAATTATGTTGGAAGCATAAGAGGACAATAAGAAGCTTTGTTTATACCAAAAGCATTAAATATTATGTTCTATTGGGTAATAATAAACTCCTTAAATATACCGTTACTCAAAGGATTTTGTTTAATAACTTTCTTTATACCATTCTTCATGGTGTTTAAGACCATTTATGGAATTAAAATCCTTCTTGCTATCGTTTTATTGATTTTTTTGTACATGGATATACTATTTAAACAATTTTTTTCATCTCATCCTACATTAACTCTTATACATATATGTATATATATAATTATGAATTTTATTGTTTTTGTAATTAAATGGCTATGCATCCGTATCTATGTGCTCTCGCCGAATATTTTGCTCTTATCCTCCATCAAATTCAGCACAATGCGCTGGGGGAAAAATTGGGCCTGCTTGGCATTTTTGTGGAAACTACTGATATATTAATTACCTATATGATTTGTTCTTTGTTATAAATTTTATGTAATACTATCTCTGGTTCTTAATATAATATTTTATTTTATTTTTATTTTGATCCTAAATATAAGATCCCAATCTAATTTGTCTCTTATATTTATACTTTTTTTTCTCAAGATAATCCTTCTAATAATAATAGTTCTAGCCAATACACTTGATTAGCAAGGATATTTGAAAAAATACAATACCTATTTATTATAAATAACTAATTTAACTTCTTTTCTTAATCTCCTCAAATTAATTAACTAGCTCTTATAATTAGAACCGGAGGTAGTATAGTTTATTGTTTTTTCCGCCGAAACTTAGCATACTTGTTATGCAATGCATATCATCTAAGATTTGAAATGCTACTTTCGACAAGTTGTGAGCAATATAGTAACCATATATTTTATGGAAGAAAGTGAAAACTGAAAGTTATGAAATGAAAGAGAAATCAATATATTAACATCATAATAAAATGTAATATTTACAATACCAAATTATAAATAAAGTAATTTAATTTCCAAACTCAAATACTCATAATAATTTAATGCATTAACAAAACGGAAAACGTGGGTTGGTTGCCAGGGAAAGGGGGGAAGAGGAGAAGAGATCGGTGGCCGGTGGAGGCTGTCAGAGAAGGGTCAGTTCACTTCAATAAAAAAATGGAAAAATTTTGAAAAAAAAAAAGGGCCAAAAAAAAGGGGAAGAAAGAAACAAAACTGTTGTGGGATGAATTCAATCTTACGACACCACAAGGGACAAGCCCTAGAGTTGACCTTATCAAAAAAAGACAACTCTTTTGTGCGCGTGTTTGTGTGGATTTAGATTAGATTCCCCAAGTTGTTATTAATTATACTACTATCTCCTGTACTTTGATACTCCTCCGGTCCTTAATATAATATCTATTTAGTTAATTTGATTAGATTAAGAAAGTTAGATAAATTAGTTAATTATAAGAAATGTAACACGTTTTTCCTAAAATACCATAATTATTTTTTTTAATACCTCCTCTCCCTCTTCTACTTGATTATGGTTGAGAGAGTATCCATAGGAATAATTTAGAAAAAAAATTGATAAATATGAGAAGTGGGTCTTATATTTAGGACTAAAACCAACTCAACAATTGGATCCTATATTAAAGACCGGAGGAGTATAAGATTTTATTTAACTTTTATCTTGATTTAAGGTATAAGACTCCAATCTATTTTGTATCTCATATTTAACTCTTTTTTTTCAAGATAGTCTTTTTAGTAATGTTAATTCTAAGTTTATAATCAATAAACTTGATGATCAAAGATATTTTAGGAAAGCCAATACATAGTTATTACAAATAACTAACTTAACTTACTTCCTTAATCTACTCAAATTAGTTAACTAGCTCTTATATTTAGAAAATGAGGTAGTATTAAATTATCATCCAATAAAAAGAATCACAAACTTATTTTTAAAAAAATCAATAAAACTATTCACTTCAACTCCTCCAAATATAATGTCTCTCTATTGAAGAAATCTAAATCTGCGCTTGTACTGAGTATATATCAGCGTTATTTTTTAAATTTTTTATCGATATATTGATTCCCCTTCCTAATAATTCTTGTTGGCAGTCACTGTATAATATGCTAAAAGTAGAGAGGGCAAATAGATTCTTCTTTTCTTACTTCTTATTATAAATAATAAAATAATGAACTCCGTTTATTATATATCATAAAATAAAATTATAATTTGCGTCGGTTATTAAGAAAATGGTATTTTCTTAATGATAATTATACCACTCTTCGAGATGACGTTGACATTGTTTTGAATGTTGAAAAATAAACGAAAGAGCATTGCATGAATATGATTCGCTACAATGACAAGCAACATGCTCATCATTTAGTCTCATAGATGGAGCCAAATATGTGGCTATAAATAAATCTGGGGTTTGACTTCACAATATTAATTATTAATTATTGTAACTCATAAAAATAAAACCACACAGTTTTTATAGGCACATAATACACATAAATTTCAATCATTAATTAAAATTTCTTTCAATTATCACCTTAATTTTTTAAGTGCTGACTCAATACTTTCAATTTTTTAATTATTGAATTAGAAAATTAAAGAGATTAGGTTATTTTGAGTCCGAGTTTAAGAATTGAATTGATAATTAAAAAAATTCAGGACCAAAATTGTATTTTACAGATATTTATTATGAAACCTTCATATATCTGAAGGTATTTTAACTAGTAACACTTCTTTTTTTAATTCAATTTTAAAACTTCATAGTCCTCTCCTCCGGGTTGTTCTAGATGGAGAATATGCGGCCAAAATAGAATCACTTTATGGGAGGCTGCGAGTGATTCCGATATCTTATATGTTTGGAGTTGGAGAACAAAATAATAGTCACTTTGAAATTTTAGTTAAATTTAAGAATAATAATTAATTATAGGCCATAACAAAATATCAATTATAGTTCTTATTTTCATCCGAGACATTAATAGTATATTTTAACATTGGCAGAAATTAATCTGCGTTAAACTATTATTATTTTATTTATTATTAAAATTCAGGCCACGTTAAGGTTCTAGATGAGATTGGAGATGGCTGGTCCTCCTTTATGAGATGGGAACTCACAAGTTCTTCCCTAGAGGTGTAAGATGGGTCGTCATGCTGACATACCAACAAGGAAAATGCAGATGGTCGTTACACTTCTAATATTATTCAGTCAAAAACTTGAAAATGAATTTAAAATTACTAAATATTAAATATTTTTTTAATAAAAATATATTTTTATTTATAAGTTTAGTATTGTCAAAACTTATTAAAATGTTTTGGATTCTCCATTTCCCCCCTAAATTAATATCTATCATTATCTTACCTGTGAATGGAAACTGAACCCTTAATAATATTTCATGACATATTTTTGACCTTTTTTGGTCAATATTTTTTTATTCAAAAAAATTAAATAAATTGAATGTTGAAAGCTGATAAAGATTAAAATATATATTTCAGATTTAAATAACACTTATAAAATTATTTATAAATCACCCCCTCAAATCAATCTCCTTTTTTTCTTTTGGCTTTTTTTTTCCCCTTCCACTAGCGAGTAGTTGCATTAGTACGTTACATGTACCGCACTTAGTCAATATTCCATATTGATAGTGCGAGTATAAAAAATGGTGGTATTCAAAGTTGCCAGATTACGGTCGCCTGATATGAATCCAGAAGAATGGATTTTTCTTTTTTATATAGATATACATATGCATTGATGATTGATTGTTGATTGTGATACGGTTATATATTTTCCAATAAATAACAAACATATACAGTATACAGTTTTTATGACTTGCCATTACAATATTGAAAATCGTGGTACATATTTGATTCGAAATAATCAATCGTTAATAAATCTACAAAAAATTTTGAAAAAATATGTATTATTTATAAGTCAGAAATAATAAGTTTATCGAAAATTAGATAATAATATGTATGAAAAAACTTACACACTTCATTCCAATCTCATTTGCAAGAATCACGTAATTTTATATATTATTTGCTGAACAGAAGTCACGCACTTCTTGTTATTGTTATTTATTAAAATGCGTTTATACTCTTTAAATTCACATATAAACACTTGTAAGTTTTTGTAAGGATTTTTATAATATAAATTGGGGTTTATAAATTTTCATATAAATATTTCTTATTTTAATATTGTTAGTTATTAAAATGTTTACGTATACATGTAAAATCTATAAAATATTAAAATTTTTTAGTCTACTATTATTAGTTGTTAAAATATGTGCGTGCTTGTAAATTTATGCATGAACTTGGCCTAATAAATATACTGTTCATTTTTCATTTAAAAGTACAACATTATTAAAATATTATTTAAAAAAAGG